TGACTCTTACAGTATGTTATTACCATTAGAAAACAATAAACAATGCATACCCAGTAGTTTGTTTCTTTTCTGTAGGTTGTCAAAACAGAAAAAATAAATGCCGATAAGAAACTTCTATGTTATATTACTTTTGATGAAGGTATGGCAAGCCTGTCTTCAGAATATAAAACAAGGTTTGGCTCTTGGTAATCTTTTCTACTTTCCACAACAAATTAATTAGAGAAGATGTTTGCCAAAGATAATAAAACTCATATTTTGTTTACCATTTCAGCTTACATATGTTAATAATTTAACCATGCATGGAGAGAAACAATAAAGCAAATTGGTCTTGAGTTGCTTTCAAAATAACGCCTGTGGTTGCTACGTGTGTTTGCTGTACTTGTTCCTTCTGAGATGCCAGAGGTACGCGCGTTCCTCGTCCCACCAGCGCACAAACAAATGGAGTTCCAGGCTTGGGATCGTTTCTGTTCAGATTCCGTGAAGTGGGAGCTGTACCGTTCGTCTTCCCTGGCCCTTCAAAACATTCGTGTGAGAAGTGTCTTGGAGAGTCTGGGCGGAGAGGAGGAGTATTTTGAATCTTGAGTAATACATATATAATATTTTAAGATGTAAATATTGTATCCAAGAAACCAATTCAGATTAATTATCTGGATGATAGATACAGAAATTAAAATCTGAATTTAACAGTGTAATGCAGAAGTAGAAAAATGTTAAGAGAAAAATTTTAATTCAAATTAAAATTTTAAAATTAAAAATGTTATTTGAGAGTCCAGCTATATATAACTCTTGCAGAGGCTCTAGCTGATGACATAAAGTAGAGCAATGGTAACATTTAGGACAATTCCTTCCCAGGGCCATTGCAGAGCGTTTTAAAGACAGTGGTGGCACTGGAGTCAGAAACGTGAACAGGTTTTACGGTCAACTGAGTGAGAGATGAGTCCAGCTCACATGGCAAAATTTTTAGCGTCTCTGAAAACCAACTGAGGTTTTCAGTTCTTCTGAAAGAAAAACATCTCTTAAGCTTACGGTTATAATTAGCCAGAGCCAGTTGAGTAATTCTTCCTCCAAGATCACCTAAATCAAAGTCATGGATGCCGTATTTAGACCTTGCAGTCAACAATCCAGGGGGACGCAATGCTGGGAACCCAATTTGAGCTATGCTGAGTTCTCAGGTTTATGGAAGGAGTTCACCAAAGTGCAGCTGAGCCGTGCTAATTCTATTTCAATTTAATGAACATAAAACATTTGCCATTGATAGGGAATTCTTACCCAGCATGCTCTTCATCTCCCTGGGCATTTTAAAAAATCAAAGATATGGAAAGCAAGCACAATCTTACTTGATACCAAGTTTAAAGAACTGCATACATGTATTTATTAATTATTTACACAATCATTTTTAAGCAGAGAATCTTTTCTATAAGGTCAACTTTCTTTTGTTACTTTAATGCATTCAGAAGCTAAAAGAAGCTTGCTAAGATTGAGCTCTGTGATGGAAGTGGATGTTGCAGAAGTTACGCTATTACCTCCCATTATCTAGAAAGGATAGTTGAGTTTTAAATGGTCTGCAATATTATTAGTTAAGGCAATTGTACAATAAGCTTTTTAAGACATATTGAGGTTTTTTAGTACATCTAGCTTTGCATTATTTTTGAGATTATTTTTCTTTGTATACATTTCCATGTCTTTGTATAAAAACTGACTTCACCATATGCCATGACTTTCTAGCTTAAATATAAACTGTGCAGTAGAATGTATGTGCTGTGTGTATATTTTCTATTTTTCTTTAAAGACACGGTGCCAACACCCTTCTGTATTTACAATACCAAGAATAATCATCTAGTTTGTAAGAACATCTATTTCGCAGTGCATGAGACTTGTCAACTAGCACCTATACAAGTAAGCTGCTGTTTAAAGGGAATGGGTTTTGTGCTTTCTTGTTTGAAGATGTAAGCACGAGAGTTGCAGATAATGCTTAATTGACTATCTGTTCTTAAAATGCCCTTCTTGATTCCTCTTTGAGAGCTTTTATGTTTATTTGCTGTATGAGATATAGCAAATCACTGGATGGGTGAAGGGAGGTGGGGGAGCAAGCTGTAGACAGAAAAAAGTAGGTTGAATTGCATGGTTTCATACTCCAAACACTGAACGGTGCAGTTCTTGCTGGTCATTGACTGACTGGAACACAAAAGTGGGAGCAGTTTGTGGCTGGCGGTGTTACCCTCCCCGCTGGGATTTCAGTTGGAAGCAATAGGTTTTTTGGTTGACTTTTATTGTGGTTATAGTTGGTTTGGGACATAATGCCACAAGACATTCTTCCAACAAGGTGGCAGGACAAGGCTCGATGGCAGAGAAAGCGCAGGAGGGGACCAGCTGTGGGGTGGTTCAAAACCCAGTCAGGACTCAGAAGTAGCCATCCAGATATTTTTACAATGTTTTATTTCTCTGTATCTTTCAACAGCGTCAGAAGTTGCAGGAATAAAATGGACACATGTGTTTTCAAAAGCATCTGAGTGACTTAAGAACACAAATGCCATTGAGCTTTAGGAGGACTTGAGCTGTTCAGGACTTGTTTACACAGGGAAGTTACACCTCCTATACTAGTATAGTTCTGCTGATGGATCACTCCATCTGGAATAATTGGCTTTTTTGGGTTAGTTTAACTTCTTCAAAATACTGTAAACTAAACCACTGGCTCCTTAACTGTAGTCTATAGAATCACATTAAACAGTAAAATTTATGAATGAGTCAGTTCTGTGTGGTTATGCAGGTGAGTCAAAGAAATTCCACCACTGGGTAGTGGCCTCTTGGTCCTAACTCTAAGAACCACTGAACCAAATAAAATAAAGACGTCCTTATTCCAAATTAAGGTCATCTGGGGAGTTACAAATGTGTATGTTTTAAGTTCATGCCTTCGTTTTTATTAACGTAGCCCCCAGCTCACTAAGGATTTTGGAAATCCAGTCGGAATTACTCTGCACCATTTACACTGCAGAACTACACCTAAATTTGTTATGAAAAAAGAAGAACAACACTAATTTCTCGATGATGTAGAATATTTTAGATCTTAAATTGATTTTGAAAGATGAGCATACTTATTTTATCTTAAATTGTTAAATTGCAATACTATGTAATTCTAAAGTTCTTAAGCAACAGCAACAAAAAATTGATGATGTTATTCTGCATAGAACTGACTATTCATAGGGCTTGAGGGTTGTTTTTTTTTTAAATGTTCAGAAACCAGATTTTCTTGCGTATGGCAGCTCAGAGTTATAGGATGATCCTTACCAAAAGCCTGAACATTGTTAATTATTTCCTAACTACAAAGTCTGTTGGACTGTGAAATAATATTCCCTGAAAAGACCCAAAAAGGAGCAAGTGTCATCACTTAGATAAATTAAATGTCTTCCTCCATATCACTCTCAGTTGTAACCGGTGGCGATTTGGCCATTTATTTAACCATCCGTTGGCTTCCTCGTGTGTTCTTTGGCTGAAAACTGGGGTCTTCTCCAGGAGCTTCTCTATTCTACACAGAACTGCCAGTTGCTCGTGGAGGAGTCTCTCATAAGCAAGATGACTCTCCCTAACCGGGTTGCGCAGATGCTGAAATACCCCCTGAGGCTTCCCAGCTTTCACCTTCCAGAGTTATGTGCCGCAGTTTTCCTCCGGGACAGCTACATTTGGACTCCTCTTCCCTGCAGCTCTCACTTATAATTCAGTTCTCTGTGGGGTTGAAATCCCAGTTGTGATCTCTACTTTCCTCCTCTTCATTTTCTACAATGACAGAGTACCTCTGGTTGCAAGTGAAGAGGAGGTAGCGTTTCCACGATTACCAGACCTGGACTGCTGGACCACGGCTGGTGTATATTTTGCTGCATAGATGGTTTTGGCAGCATTCGGGTGATTGAAAATGAAGACCTTATATTTCTATGGCTACAGTGTAGTCTTGGATATGCCACCACATTCTTGTTATTAGCATTCTAAAAGCATTTAGAGACCACAGGAAAGATCAGTGTTTCACTACATAGACACCTGAACTTGTTTAACCTACACTATTTGTTTATTGAAGTGTGTGCCAAAACTCACTGGGTTGAGAGGAGCTAAAATTTCACTCCCTATCTTGTGGAGCTTTAGTTTAAATAGCTAAAACAGATGAGTCATGGGAGAGGTGAATTACCATCCTCATTTTACAGAAGTATTTCACAACCATCCACAGCTCAGGAGGCAGCTGGTGGCATGCCCAGCAATTGGACCAAGCCCAGCATCTTCACCATGGGGACGCTGGTCTTCTGTTACAGTTCTACGTTAAAAACAAAGAACTGACAAAAATCCAAAACCCCTTCATAACTTTTAATAGGACACATGCAGCGGCTTCATATATTTAGGTATTAAGTTTTAGATGCTAAAAGCGTTGTGAGCTGATTTTTAATAACTCAGAATGATATTGCTTAGAAAATTTAGCAGATAAGTCCTGTTCTGTACAGTACAATCTAATGTGGTGATTCCCAAAAGAATTCCTTAAAATGCACCATTATATTTGTTATGGATACGTTAGTTACAGGATTTTCTTTTTTTTTAAGAAGTTTTAGCTGTTTGTTGGTTGCTATTACATTCAGAACAGGGGGAGGGCAGTACAACAGCCTAACAGCAGAAACACCGTAGAGGTGCAGAGTAGCTACAGACGTGTTAGTTCCCTGCAATACGCGTGTACAGTGGTTCTGAGGTATGGAAACGGGTCCTGCTGAGACTGGAAGACCATGTTACATGAACCGTCGCTTCGTGCTTCTCTTGTCCTCTCCTCCTGCCCTTGTTTCCCTGATCAGAGGTGCTCATCTCCAGCCTTCACTGTTCTCAGCCTTGCTGGATCTTCAGCCTTTTGTTCATTTAATCATAATGCCCTGTGTTGGTCTCAGTCTCTACGGAGAGGCCTTATTTCCATGGGAGTGGAGGAATATGGCTTCCTTCTTGGCAGATTCTTAACCTTCGCCCTCCTCCATCCTTACCTGGTGTCACCTTCTGTTTGGGCCCCTTACCACCTGCAGGTGAACCTGTCAGCCTGGAGTTTCCTAACCCTTGCTGGTCTTCACCGTGGCTCTCACATGCTGCCAACTCGTCCAGCAGTGGCTGCCTGTTGAAGATGAAGACCATGGAGTATTCTGTTATGGGCTTACTGCTTCGTGTTTGGGTGTGGTAGTTTGCTTAATTGTGATCTGCAGGTGGGCACATCCATGGTGTTATATATTTAAAAATGAGAACATGGTTATTCTGAATGTGCTCATAACCCAAGCAGAATTCAATTGCAGGTGACAACCAGCACCTTCTCCACCTTCTGTCTGCCCAGTACAAAAGCTATATGGACTATACAGCCTTCTAGCCAACAACTCTGAAGTCTGTTAGATATCTGAAAGGCAAAGGAAGCAGATTTTTTATTAATAAAATGTCATATCCAGAAAAAACAAAGTGGCAAGAGAATCCTTTAAACAGTTGAAACAAGAGGTACAGAATGAAACGTGAGGCAGGGTAAACACTGCTGTGCTTTATGTGGGAGATAGGGAACTGATACAGTCTGGTTACGTAAGCAATAATTTTGGCTGTTGTTTTCATAATTGCGTTTTTGATGTTAGTTCAGGAGGATGTTGACTGTTACCGTGAGAGCTGCGGGGGATTAGAAACCTTCAAGTCGCAGCACTCTTCTCTGGATGCCTAACTTTGCCTGGGTTTATAAGGAAAAATAATGCTTTTTATGGGATCAGCTGGTAGAGCTGAAAAAAGTCGGCGTGCTATTGAGATCAGAGTTTGGCAATCAGTTTTGAAAATTGTATTTTCAAATCCAGTAGAGTGTTGTCACGGTTCTAATACTCTCGTTACTTAAGCTTTACCACCTGAAGGCTGAGCACAAGAGCTGCTTAACACAGTCCTCTGAGTCTCCATACCTTTGATTTTACCCTAAAAAGTTCGGTTATTCCAACCGAAATATGAAGCATCACATTTGATGCTGTTCTTATTACTTACAGGAGGGAGATGATTAAAACTATGTATGTGCAAAAATGGTCAAATACATTGTAGGCAAGTCCAGCCATACAACAGAGTGTTTCGATAAAAGTAACTTTATACTTTGGGTACAGAGGAGTTATGAGCATCTGTACGTTCAGATGCCAATAGGACTAGTTTGGCTGCTTTTGATGACTCGCAAAATCAGAATGCCAGAAAGGGAATAACTGGGAGGGGTCAGCGAGGCTTCTGGTTTGCCTCCTTGTCCAGGTATCAGTTTTAATTCCTTGTTTGTATTTGGCCCTTATCAAAAATCTGGATTTCATTTGTCTGTCTTAACTGGCAGTTATCCCTTTGCTCTGAAGCAACGCTTTTTATTTGTAATTTGTTACCACAAGCATATGGCGACATTTTGTGTTTAAACCTACTTTGTACGCTGATGCTCAACACTCTTGCTAGTTTTGTGCTCAAGACAGAGTAGAACAGAAGTCATAAATACTTTCAGACACTGTTTGGACTGTGATTCCAGAATGATCATCCTATATATACGTGCAGCACCTTCAGTGATTTGATGGTATTTGCTGCCTCCTGTGAGAAGCAGCACTTGACACACCTTATTTGAAGCTTTGGGTCACATCAGCGAATCCAGCAGTGAATCCCCCCCCAACGTTTCAACCCACGGCGTGCCACCCAGCCTTCAGAGGAGCTGGTGGCACAGCAAGCACTGCTGCAGTTCCTGCAGCGCCGGCAGCATCCCAGGGCTGACAGGCAAACACCTCAGCCTGGGGACCTGGTGGAGCTGCTATGTGGCATGTCCCGTGGAAACCACCGAGAGCACAAGCCAAGGAAGACACTGCATCCCACCCCATCTTCTGAGCCATCTTCACCACACATCCAGAGGCCCTTTGCTCCCTCCAGGTGTTTTGTTCTGGGCTGCTCTGGTTCTCATTTCAAATTACACCTGCTTTCAGAGCTGCTTGTTGGTCCCCGAATGTGCAGGACCGATGCGAGATATATATATATATATACATGCTATTTCAGTCTGTGATGGCAGTTACATGTATTTCATCACATTACTATGCATTGATTCCTTCTGTCCTCAGGTCTTCCCAGCAGCTGACCACATTAACCTTTTAGAAGAATGGGTTGTCTCTGAACATGCAGAGAAAACCAGTTGCCTTGGACAGCTAAAGTATTGCTGTGGCTCTCATGTTCTCTTAAGAATTCTCTTAAATTCCTCTGGTAGCTGATTTTGTGGAATCCCTGACAACAAACCACGAAGAAACCACTTGGCTCAGTCCCCTCAGATGCAGCCCTTGGCTCTGCCAGTCCGCCATGAACTGCTCAATTGTATTCTGTATTTACCTTGAGGATTTTATTTGTCATTGATCACCATTCACAGTGATGTCTCCAACGTGCAGTCAGCTGCTTTGCTGCAGAAAATTAATAATACTTGAGCCCTAATTATTGTAGGTACTCCCCTGGAAGCAGTGGCTGCCGGGCTCTGCCCCACACCCCTAGTGTGTGTGATGCGGACTCTCCAGCCCCCGCAAAGATCAAGTTTAAAATGCCTGCCTATAAAAACTGATTCAGGGATGGCAGAATCGTCTGAAAGAGCGGCTCAGCTCATTTTCTCTAAAATTTGATCTGTCACGTGTAAATGTACATCCTGGGGTTGCTGTGCTGCCCTGGCAGCCCACCCCTCGGCAGGGACGCCGGCTCCTGGGCAGCCACGCCGGTTATGCTGGTTTTGCTGTGGAAGTCAGCTTGGGTGGGAGGAGGGTGGGTGGCTGGAAGAACGGGAAGGTGAGTTTGTGGGAACGGAGACGGAGACAAATGCTAGGTTTTTCCACGCACATCTATCTTTGAGTTTTGCCTTTCTCCACAACTGCTTGAAAAGCTCATGAGAACCCAGAGGTGCAAAAGAGCTCTGTATTTCGACACCCTTTCCCATTGCCCTTGTGAGGATGGACCCATATTGCAGCGGGTCCTTTCTCGTTTCCATCTTGTAATCCCTGTTATCCACTGTGCTGGGGTTTATTTTTTAAGCTCTGCTCAACATCTGATGCAAATGAGAAGCAGCGCTACTGGAAAATGTTTGGGGAAGGGTTTGGTGCCACCAGGCCTGCCACTGGCCGCAGCCTGACCTTCTCGAAGACGTTCCATGCGTTTCCTATTTTCTGACCATTTGCCATGGGGGAAAAAATAACTTTTATTTTTCTAAACCAGATTTTATTTTTGAAAACAGTTCAAATAATAAATAACATCCTATTAACCCAGCATGCTTTAATGCTCCGAATCTTAATATAAAGACTACAGAGAGCACAAACATAACATTAAAAAAAGCGTGCACAGTTATTTCTCCTGCCCAGCGCCTCTCCCCCATAGTGCACGCAAGCTGTCTCTTTAATAATGCAAAGGAGCAGTAAATTTCAAGCTGAGGATGGGCAATAACAAGGAGAGTTATTTCCACAATGCCCCAGTGTCAGCCCCTGGCTTAGGAGCACACCTTATTAGTTCTAACAGGCTGGTTAGCATCGGGTCACCTCTGCGGCTCCGCTCCCCAGCAGGGTCACCCGTCTCCAGGCTATATTTGGGGAGAGGGGGAAGGGAGACGATATTTAGAGATTCTCTTATCGCCCAGCATTTTTAGCACTGTTTATTTTTCTTTGCACACACCCCCCCCTGCGCCCTTTTATGCCTTGCCTTTCTCGTGCCCTCTCTCCCACCCAGTATATCTCTGTGACCTGCAGAAATCCCGCGTGGTGGGCAAACCCCTCCCCTCCGAGAGCAAATTAATGCAGAACCCAC